AATAACCACTTGTAAAAAACCCACACTTCGTCACAAGAACAATGTAAAATTTTGTGATTATTTTTTGCAAATATATGATTATTACACACATAACGTTTGTTTAAATTTATGACATTTACCAAATCATTGTATTTTGGACATTTGTATTCTTCAATATTAAAAATTCTATCATTCGTCGTCAACATTTTTAAAACTTGTTTTTCTGTTGAACCACCTTTGTATGCGATCACTTCGTCTTTGCACAAATTTCTAATATACCAATTTAATATGGGAATGATGTTCTCTTGTTTGTAGGCACATTTTAATTCTTCGGTCATATCAAAATATGGAATGCCGTGCACGTGTGTTTCACAATACCGAACAGTTTTTTTGTCTTTTGGCGACAAATAATTGAAAGGATAACTTGGCCGAAACAAATAATGAACGATAAACGCATTATATTTATTAGATAGTTTTACGTCTAGAATAGCCATTTCTCTACATTGAAAATGATTATGAGGATATGTAATGTAAAAAAAATCCGTCCATGTCGATGATGTATCTAATATTTTTTAGATTTTGTGTCATTTTGAACCAAAATGTTAAAAGTATTTACACGTGACTAGAAAAATGTTTGTTCCAACAAACTTCACATAACAATGCTTCATTACTTTCCATCATCCCATTTCTTCCTTCTGCTCTTGTCTTCCTGTAATTTAAGTAAACAGAATCACATTCACTAATGATCAACTAATGACTGTCATTGTTAAAAAAAGTATTTTTTAACTACTTTAGTATTCGTTGATGCGGTACACACAATATTTAAATATAATTATTAGTTGATAAAAATTGTGTAATCTCTATTGGCCTTACTATATGATAATATGTATTGTAAATAAGATAAAAACGCTGTATGATTACCTAAATAAATAAATAAATAAATAAATTTTGTTAACACTAAATCATACACACGTAAGAAAATAACAGAAAGAAAAGTAAGTTTATCAATAGAATAAACACTTAAAATTGCAATTAACAATTTAATTGGTGCCGGCGGGGATCGAACCCGGGTCGCGTACTGTGAAATTTACAGCTTGCGCTAACCATCTGAGCTTCCCCAGCTTAATCATATACACACACAATATTATTAATTATTATATTATTGTGTAAAATAACAGAAAGAAAAGTAAGTTTGTCAATAGAATAAACACTTACATCCATGGCTTTGATGCGTTGAAGTAATACAAATGTAGTATTGATAGATCCACTGCATTCAAACGACCATACACTAACTTCAAGACTGCAGTTGCTTGGTCTTATATAGTACCAGTAAGTAATAATTCTAATCTAAAGAATTTCTTCAGTGGAATTGATAGTAACTTTATGAGTCAACAAGCTTATCTCACATTCTGTTGCTTATCTCAGCATTACTTCGTGTTGCGTCTTGTTCAGTATATTGATGACTCAAATAAGTTTTGTATAACACAAAATAATGCAATTTAATATTTAGAAATCACTATAATTGATCATTCCTATGTTAGTCATTGAGTAGATTGTACTGTAATAATCTACTAATAGCAGTAATATCATGGATACACTAGATGTACAACAACATCTGAAAAAGATTCACCCCAGTCTAGAAAATAATGTTTATGCTGCTAATAGACTGCCCATGTACACCCACGTACCAACGTATATAATATGCAATTTGGATACAGATGATAAACCAGGGTCACATTGGGTAGCTTTATATATCGATACGAATGACGTCGGTCAATATTTTGATTCATTCGGACGGGCACCTGTACGATATCATCTAGAGTTTTTTAAAAGAAATTGTAAAAGATGGAACTGGAATGTTGATAGGATTCAGAATGAGTGGACTTCAGTTTGTGGCGAATATTGCTTAATGTATTTGCTATATAAGTTTCAGGGATGTTCAATGCATAGTTTTACGAGTATATTTACAGGGAACACATTGTACAACGATATTTTAGTGGATGAGATGTTTCGCTCCTATTTTATAGATAATAAGTAATAAGATTTGATATTTCGTAAATAAAAATTGTAACAAAATTAGGTAATGTATTTTATTGATGATTCAGATTAGCGTTGCAGTTAGGAACAAAGGAGTATAATACAATAGCACTTATAATTTGACGCATACGCCGAGGAAGAATAGATAATGACGGTATTCAATGAACAATAGATAAATAGATAAGAACAATGGTGTGCTAATGACGGTGGAGGCCCTCACCGGATATCAATTAGATAAGAGTTAATTGATCTGCACATTTCCGGAACCGTGCATCCTACGCAAAAACGGACCGCAGATTCGTGATCAGAGCGTGCCAAAACCTTTTTTTTTTCTAGGATCGTGAGTCGACGAACGTTGTACCACTTCTGACTCAGTGAGCCAGAACTGGTACTACCTATTTACTGGCGACCCTCCTTGGCAGAAAGGAGGGCGCAAAAATTTCTATTCAATTTCCAAACTAGCTAGAGGACACGTAGTTTCTATAATTAGTCATTTAGCCAATCTTTGCTTCCATAAAGGCATCTTTCCATCATCTCTCAAAAAATTTATAGTTTCAGCGCTGTATAAGGATGGGAATATATATGACGTCATCAATTACAGACCACTGTATGTATTACTCACCACATCAAAAATTATGGAGAAACAAATAAACCTTCGTCTAAATAAACTACTTAAAAATATAACATTCTTTCGGAAACGCAATTTGGCTTAAGACGAGTAAAATGAACAGAGGATGCAGTACTAGCTCTAACCTCCTTTATCATTAAAGAATTAGACCAAGGTCAAATATTTCTTACTGTTTTTATTGACCACAGAAAAGCATTTTATACTATTTATTTACCAACCCTCGTGCGTAAACTCGAAGCAATTGGAGTGAAAGGGAACCAGTTAAAAATATTTGAATATTACTTGCGAAATCGGAAGCAACAAGTGAAGATTGGGGATCATATAAGTGAAAAAGCTGAAGTTCTTTTCGGTGTTCCTCCGGGGACTGTACTGGGACTCAGCCTGTTTCTCATTTACATAAATGCTCTCACAAAGATGAAATTCGAAAATGGTCGGGTATTTTATCCAACGTTCACGATACTTAACTAGTCTTCACGGGTACAACTTGGAAATCAATTTTCAAGAGCGCAGTGCTTGGACTTAGATCGGTTAATAATTGGCAACAGCATAATCTTATCACGCTTAATGTATCCAATACCAAATACATATGTTTTACGATCAACAATAGAACGCAACCTGCTAGCAACATTGCTCTGAGAATTCATAGGTGTACTTATGAAGATACAGTCAACTGTTCATGTGCGGTGCTTGAGAGAGTAGAGAATCTATTAAGTACCTAGGTATTATTTTGGACCAGCGACTAAGTTGCCATTCTCACATTGACTGTACAGTAACAGACTAAGAAAAACAACGAACAACGATATAGAATTAATGCTTCAAGAAATTGACAAAACTAATGAATGAAATTAACTAAAATACACACACGCGCACGCCTGCACGCACGCATGCACGCACGCACCCATGCATGCACGCACTCACGAACGAACCATGACCATTGTGGTTGACGTTTTTTTCTTTTTTACCCTATTTTAGAAAGACCAAAGTTAGATAACCCTATTTGGGCACCAATTGGCCCTAACTTTTGATTGTTATAAAAGCATTTTTACGGCGCCGTTCAACCAGCGGCCTAAATGATATTCAGTCTAAGCGTCTAATTAATGGTGGTTAATATAGCGCATAGCGCTATATTATAGCGCGCTATCTCTTCATAACGCATAGCGCGTGCTGTGTAAGTAGTCGCAATGGCGCTATGACGCTTTGGCGCTATTTATATCAAGCAACAATTAGTTCTAGCAGCAGCGCTGTTGGGAGTAGACGTGTGACGCAAATTTAATATAGCAACACGCTATTCATCGCACGTGAACTAATTTAGTGTTAGACGTTATTTAGTTAGTGTATACTCTATATTTATAAGCGATCGAAGGACACAGTTGTCTGCTACAAAAGAAGCCTAACTAATGTTTTTAAAATGTAAATAAAATATAGATACAAAAGTGTATATAGTATTGTTTGTAAATAGTTGATTTTTGAATATACAATCAATAAACTTTTAAATACATCTTTAATTGATTTATAATTTATATTAAGGTTAAAATAACGTTTACATCAATTATAATAAAAAAATGATTAATTTTATTTTGTTTCAAAAAGTACACGCCTTAAAAATATTTTTAGGATTATAGAAAGTCGTAAGCCTAAAAAGTATAAAAGAGCGTTCATTGATTTTTCTTTAGCACTTTATTTTATTTTAATCTAAAATGCGACTTATTACGAAACAATCTTCGATCAACAATACCAATGATCGAAGGAAAAAATGTTCTTATATAGCACGCGGTCTATCCAATGAACGACATGTAATGTAGCGTGCTCCGAGATATAGCGTGCTGCTAAACTTAACGCGCTTGCCGGCCTCCTACACACTTTTTTATAAATAGCGAGCTATAACTTAGCGAATTTAATAGCGCGCTAGAAATTTCTAGTTTATAGTCTGTAGCGTGCTATTGACTTATAGTCGTTTTGAACAACTTTACGTCTAATACAACTTAGCACATATCTCGTAATATCAGCGACAGTAAGTAAGGGGTGGCTCTTATGCCACCCTAATGTCGCTGATATATATATATCGCTTATATATATATATATATGTAATTAGGCACAAACCAGCGACATTACATGGCATGGTCACCCTATTAATTTCATTTAACGAGATAGTCACTGGTCTATCCCACATCCCACACACATTCACCCACTAGTTGCACGGTGCAGTTTAATATAAAGATTAGGCTGTTAACAAAAAGCTAACTAGTATACTGCGACTAATTTATAAATAACCACACACACACACACACATACATATTTCCTCCAAAGTCACTGTAATACTTCTGCCTCATTCATATTCTGTTTTCATTTTTTTCAGTACCGGGCTATAAAAAGGTACCGATTGATTTAGAGGGAAATATAATATAAATGGTAAGTTTTTTTTTAAAAATTAAATAAGGTAAATGTAGGCACCGACTCTTCCTCTCTTTGTTTTAGTCAATGGCTGTGAGGTTTCCCACGTTACATACTCCACCTTGGCAGAGAGATCAACACGCCGCATTTGTGGACTCCAAGAGATATCGTCTGGTGAAATTAGCAGATCAGTCGCTGCATAGCGTACCATTCCATCCATTACAGCCTATAAAAGATCACTGCTAAGCATAGCCCTCTCCCTTAGATGGTCTCATAGGGAGAATGTTGCCATAGTCACCACGCTTAGCAGGCGGACTCGCAATTGCAGTTTTTATTATTATTTTGTGTTGTTATCAGGAAGATGAGCGCATCTCCTGTTTTTTGTTTTATAGGATAGGGTGACAATCTATATCTATCCTCGATTACAAATCAAAATTCAGATGTGTTGTCACCCGTGAGGACTAAGATGGAATGCCTCGTTTCCAGTAAAAAGGGTAATCGGTTCTCTACGTTCACCATACAAAACACGGCAGCATTAAGCTACTATTTGACGCTGGTACTATGGGAGAGCGTGGTCCTGCCCCGGTTGAGCCGATCCATTCGTGATACAACTATACTGTAAATATGACTTCAGCATGGCTCTACCACGTATATATATATATATTATATATATATATATATATATATATATATATATGTCTTTATATATATATATATGTCCTGTTTCAGTTTCCTTCTGTCACCTCTTACGACACCCACGTGACGATATGGGGTAGTGGATATTCTTACATCCGACAGTACACGGCATAACCTGCAGGTACCATATGAAAGAGATTTTAGTAATCTCCCGCACCCCAATGCTTTTCCAACCCACCAATGACAATGAGGCTTACACCTAGTTACAAGTGTCCACGAACTTTAGTAGTATATACCATAATTATAAGATGTATTATTATGGGTGTGGGTAATAAATTCGGTGAATATGGTAACTTTCTTATAATTCAAAAACTACAGCCTTGGTTGCATAGATGGCTCTGAGATACGATAGCTCTTCGCGCGCGCTGCTTCATCGACGCCATTTTGACAGTTGAGATTATAGTAAATATTTTTGTCGATTTTAGTATTGTGTAGTAGTTCGTTTTTTTTTAAGTCATTTTTGGAAGTGTTCCTAGTTATTACCAAAGCTTGTTTGTTTGTTTTTTTTTTTAATATATTAGTTATAGTATACGACTTTGTGTTTTTATCTCTTCTCTCCTTCTATAATAGTTTTGGTTTTATAGGGTGGCATCGCTTACGGTGACCATATTACCCTCACGTATAAGCCCCGCACTTTGATATTGCGACTGACGACCATCTTAGTGACGTAGTCGAATTGTTTGTACCGTTCGCAAGGTCAGCCAGCGCTTACGCGAATAGAGTACCTCAACCACGTGTTTTTATAGCTTTTTATTTTCTTTATGCTGTTTTATTTTTGTTATCGTTATCATACTTATTCTGTTACAATGAGTAAGCAAGTAATTAACAGCCGTGCTCGTGTAATGATTATTAAAGTAGACAATTATTTTGTAAAGGAGAAAAAAAATATTTATAATTAAATACTTATAAATATATGTATATAATATAATATAAATACCTATAACCCAAGGTTATTAACATTTTTCACCAGAGGTGCCAACACCTCACACGAAAAGAAGATTAACGTTTTTGTTGTCTGTACTTTTTTGCGGTGGATGACGTCACGCAGCTGTTATTGTGACAAGGTTCCATCGCAATATCAACGTGCGGGGCTTATACGTTAATTATTTGTGTTTGTAGCTCCCTCCAGTCGTAACTGATTACGTGTTATTGGACTATGAGAGTGAGGGAATAGAGAGTGCATTTATGCTTGTTCATACACTCGGGCACTATAATCCTGTCTTTCGCAAATTGTTAATTTCTTTTGAGACTGGCGGCCTTGATCGAAATTTGGTATTGAGTAGATTATTATTAGGTACTAGCACAATTATTAATTCTGTTGTACTAGCTCAATTGCCTCTATGTGATAGTAGGAATAAAGTAACCAAAACTAAAAGTAATATAAAGTAGTTTTTTCACGTGGTAAAGCCACGCTGCAGCTATATTATGGTTGTAGCACAAATGACTGGATTCGACCGGGATACGATCACACTCTCACGGAATACCAGCGTAAAATAGCAGCTTATTGCTACTGTGTTTTGTGTGGTGAGTGTAGAGAACCGGATAACTTTAATTACATGATAGGAGGCATTCCATCTTAGTCCTCAGGGGTGACAAAGCATCTGCATTTGGATTTTTATCGAAGATACATACAAACGCCTATGGCCCACGTAGATTCCCCTTAATCTATAAAAAATAACTAAACAGATTGTTTTTTTTTTTTTTTAAGAATATTTCATAAATCGACACAGTGCCTTCGACATCCGTTGTTTAAATATTGAAACATTTTTATTTTAGCATACAATAATAAGTAAGTAAAATAAATAATAAGTAAATAGTAGTAAGAAAAATATTGTTGCGCGTTAAAATTAGTTGTAAATCTCAATGAAAAAAGAAATAAAGCTGTGTTTGTATGAGGTAACAAATGTGCGTTTCATTTGAGTTCATTAAGTTCATTATACTGGCTAGGCTGAATCTGAGTGATAGGGTGAGAAACTGTGTGATAAAAGAAGAGTGTGGTTTGCAAGATGATGCGGTGACCAGGATTAAGAAAGGAATGCTTCGGTGGTTTGGTCATGTAGAAAGAATGAATGAGGAAAGAGTGACAAAACAAATTTATATGGCAGATGTGAACGGCATAGTCGGGAAGGGACGCCCTAGATAAAAGTTTATCGACCAAATTGGCGATATTTTGAAAATGGGCCACGTTAAAAGTACTCTTAACCGACGAGCATGTATGCGTAGATATATGGATGTAAAGGAAGCGAAAGAGGTATGTCAGGATCGTGTCAAATGGAAGTCGGTGGTCTCTGCCTACCCCTCTGGGTGACAGTCGTGAGCGTTTATGCTTTATGCTATAAAAGCCCAACTCACATCAAAATCGCGCTGTCGAAAAAGCAGTTATCCTGACACTGGCTGACATATACTTCGGGGAGTTGCCTGTAGGCTATTATAGCTAACTAGCTATGGAAAGTAAATACCTATTTAGAATACATAGTACCTACAGTAATATTTGCATAACCTACAGTAAAATACAAAAACATAAAGAAAACATAATTATGTTACACTTTTTTGTGTTTGTTTTAGAAATTGTTATCTTTTTTTCAAAAAAAACAATTCAATTTTTTGCAATTTCTCACCCTGTCATTCAGATTCAACCCTAGCATATTCCTTAAACACCGCATTTCTACAGCATTTATTCTACTTTCGTGCTTCTTCTGCCACACCCAGCTTTCACTACCATACATTAAAGTAGGGACTAACACAGCATTATGAATTACCATACGTGCCTTTTTTTGATACATTTTTGTTCTTCACAATAGAGTGTAGTGCCCCATTCACTCTATTCCCTGCATTTACTCGTCGTTCTAAATCCCTATCATATCTACCATCCCTGCTAAATACACATCCCAAATACACAAACTCATCCACTTGCTCAATTAACTCTCCTTCTATTCTTATTTCACATATCGTTTTGCTTTCCTCTCTTTCAAAAACCATCACTTTCGTCTTACTTGCGTTCACTTTCATTCCCCTTTCTTTTAATGCCCAGTTCATTAATGTAACCATCATTTGCAACTCAGCCGCCGATGACGCAAATATGACTTAATCATCGGCATACAAATGGCATTTGACGGTTAACTCGCCCATTCTTAACCCACATTCTTCATCTTTCAAAGTTTGCAAACACCTGTCCATAAATAGGTTGAACAGCCAAGGGGAAGCCACACAGCCCTGTCTGACACCCTTTCGGATGCCAAACCAGTCCGAGTAGATCCCATTGATCCCGACACAAGCACTAGAATCTCTGTAAAGAGACCTCAATGCCTGTATCAAACCAGCGCTCAACCCATATGAGTTCCGTGTTTGCCATTACACATTCCTGTCCACTCTGTCATAAGCCTTTTCCAAGTCCATGAACGCACAAAAAACTTTCTGGTTTTTCGCCAAAAACTTCTCCGCGATCATGCGCATGGAAAAGACTTGATCTGTACACCCCATTCCCTTTCTAAAACCCGCTTGCACATCCCAAATTTTTCCATCAGTTTCTTTCATAACTCTTTCAATTAACACCTTAGCATACAGTTTACCCACAATACTAAGCAAGCTGATACCACGGTAGTTTTTGCAGTCCTGCTGTGACCCTTTTCCTTTATATATTGTTACTATAACTGCTTTACACCAGTCATCCGGTACCCGTTTTAATTCCCAACATAAATTAAACAAGGTGTACAGCAGGCCTGCCAACCACTCCCTCTCCAGCCCTTAGCATCTCGAATGATACTCTATCATATCCAGCTGCCTTACCTGCTTTCATGCTTTTCATTGCTTTCATTATTTCATCTACACTTAAACTTCTTCATTCAGAATACATCCATTCTCGCCTCTTATAGCATTAATTATAGGCTGTTTTGTATTTCCCCTGGCAGTTCTTACGAGTTTCCAGAACATTTTTATATTAGCCTGGAAATTATCAGATATCCTTCTATCATTCTTACCCGTTCTTTCTTTCTTTTTCCTTTCAACTACTTCTTTTACTCTCTTATTTAGACGTCTAAATTCTGCCTTTTTTCTTTCAATCTCATCATTCATACCACCAGAATTACCAGTTTTAGTTGCTATTGGTGGCTGCATCCACCAAACCTTTCTTAATATTATCCCACACAGTATTCAAGTCTAAATCATTCATACAAAACTCATTCAAACACCTAATATTTTCTCTCAGTCTACATTTATACTTCTCTTTCACATCTTCATCTTGTAACTTCTCTATTCTTATACGCTGTAACGCAGTGGTAGACACAGATGTCCGATGCCGCCAACGCTTGAAAAGACCGTTA